TCATGGGGGAGACCAGTGTTTCTCAAATTGGGGGTCCTGACCGAAAGGGGAGTTGCAGGGGGGTTGCAGTATTGCCACTTCTTACTTCTGTGCTGCCTTCAGAGTTGGGTGGCCGGAGAGCGGTGGCTGTTGGCCAGGTGCTCAGCTCTGAAGGCAGCGCCCCCAACAGCAGTTGCGTAGAAGTAAGGATGGCGATACCATACCATGCTGCCCTTACTTCTGCGCTGCTGCCTTCAGAGCTGGGTGGCCGGAGAGTGGCGGCTGCTGACTGAGGGCCGCAGGCAGCAGCGCAGAAGTAAGGGTGGCAATACTATACCATGCCATCTTTACTTATTCGCTGCTGCTGGCGGCCGTTCTGCTTTCAGAGCTGGGATTCCGGCCAGCAGCTGCCGCTTTTCCAGCTGCCCAGCTATGAAGGCAGTGCTGCAGCCAGCAGCAGCACAGAAGTAAGGGTAGCAATACCACAACCTCCTCCCCCCCTGCAATAACTTTGCAACCCCCTTCCCACCCTCCCCGCACAATTCCTTTTTGGGTCAAGATCCCTACAATTACAATAGCCTGAAATTTCAGATCTAAATAGCTGAAATCATTCAATTTATTATTTTTTAAATCCTGTGACCAAGAAATTGACAAAAATGGACTGTGAATTTGGTATGGCCCTACTGATAAGGCTGTAAAAATCCCCTTATCCATATATGTTGTTCCTATACTGTCAAATAGTTTAAAATAGATATAGTATGATTTTACATTTACCCTTGTCCCAGGGCTAAATGCTGAATATTGTAATACATTAGAAATTAAACTTTTAAAAAAATAAGTAACTTAGTGAGAAAATAGCAGTTTTATAAACTTTACCATCTGTATATTTTCATTTAAGTCTCAGATCTATATCAAAATCCCCTACAGTGGTAAACTGATCTGAGAACGCTAAATCATCCAGTAATTAATACATAATTGTATAGTACACACCAATTACTGAACCCATCATAAAACCTCTACCAGGGATAAGTAAAAATGCAGTTAACTTTGAATTTAAAATTTCCTTGCCCACTGACTTGCACTGGGTGCAAATTAGCAAAGTAATTTTAAAAACAGTAAATGACATAGGATCTAACCCTGTGACATGGGAGCTGAGGGCACGATGTGGCCTGCAGATTAGATATGTAGCAGGCAGTGTGGGAAGAATATATGATGGCATTAAGGTAAACAGTTCATAAAGGAGAGACTGTGTTAGCAAAATACACTGCCTGTGGAGACTAGAAAATTTTTTCGCGGTGCTCATACAGTTAGCCCCATTCAGCCCAGCTCCTTCAATTATGGACCAGAGACTCTTCCATTCCCAGACCTCGGTAGTTATATTTATTAAGTGATGACTTCCACAAGGTTAGGAAGTGTGGAGTATATGTAAGGGGCGGGTGTTGGTGGGGCAGGATTCCTTAATAGGAAGATACCTTTTCTTTTCCTCTCATCTATAACAAAACTAAGGTGGAACTGGAAATCTTCAAGAGGTTCTAATTAAAGCCTCATGATGAGTAAAGAGCAAGAATGAAGAAAGATGCACGTGAGTGCTAAGAGATCATAAGTACTATTACAGAATAGAAGAAGAATTACATCTGTAAATCTGTATTGTGCTTCTTATCCAGAGCTTAAGGAATATGATTTATGCAAACAGAGTAGTGTTTGAGTAGAGATCAAGTAGTGTCACTGAGCAGAAGCCAGATTGACAGGTTAGATCATCATTAAGATGGTGGATACATTGTGAATCTTTTTCATTATTTTAAATATTGTTTGATAAATTGAGATGGGATGTTATGATAGGTTCTGATGTATCGTCAGTTTTAGGATAAGAATCTGAGGAATCGCCAGTTTTAGGAAGAGGCATTAATTACCTTTTACAATTTTCCACTGGGAAAATGAAACTATAGAGGAAAAGGTTGATGTAAGAACAAGGACTGGGAATAAGCAGTTAGTCATCAATGAAAACTAGGTCATATGATTTTGGTAAATGTACGGAGCAATTATACAACATACAAGTAACTTGGTTAAAAATTGAACTGTGGAGCTTCTCTCAGCTCAGTCAAAGAGATGTAAATTTAAACAACACCAAAGTGGATTTGCTTTAAATCACTAGTCAGGAAGACTCTATTTAATCATGGATTTCTACATTAAAGTGCATTCTTGTTGGTTGTTGTAACCTTAATACATATTCTTCACAACTCAGCAATAAAAGAGACCCAGTTTGGGTCTCATCTACAGCCTGCTGCCATTATCGGTTTTCCCTTCTAGTGAGAGAATGGTATGGTAGATCTCAAATCAATGAAGGCTACCCTCAGAAAGACCCTAAGACTTCTGGAATATGCTGCTCAAACAGTTTCACTTTTGTTTCTACTGCCTGTCCCTTCCTTCTCACATTTAACTCCAGACTTCTCCTTGTCCAGATCTATTCTGTCTCCAACAATCTTCTATTCATTGAACTTTTTGAAACTTTGCACTTTTAGAGAGAGGTAAGGGATTGACTCTGTGTACACAAATTTGCAGAGGGACAATAGGGTTGAGGTCTGTTGTTTCTCACCTCTATATATTTATTTATTTAAAAACATTTTTGCTGTTAACAAGCATGTTACTGTGTTTCTGGAGACACAAATCCACAGTTTGAGAACTGCAAACTAAGCATCTCTGATGGTATCTTCTAGACTGAGCACTGAGTCCCATTGGGTAGATAGAAAGATTAACCTAAATAATCTATACAGAAGCCCCTAGAACCCCATCAAATTGGGTCCCTAATCCATGAACTATTGGAATTCATTTACAAAACTTTTCTTAAACATTACATGAATATATTGTCTCATACTATAGAATTAGAATTTATAATCCCTATTCTATGATGAGATATCTTTGAGCTAGAATGTATCTTAATTAAAACTATCTTTAGATAATTTTTTTCCTTAAAAAGCATTTTACAAAAAAATTCTGATTTAAATAAAAAAATTCCAATTTTTTTTATTTTTTTTTTAAATCATTGATTTTTATCCACCCTGAACAACACACCAAAAAGAGCTAAAGTACTAATTAAATAAATCTGACTTCTGTTGGAAAAAAGTACCAGGAATACGATGGTAATCTTAATGGAGATATTTGCAGGGGAAAATGGTATTAGGAATGACCAGATTATTCATCCTGAGGTCGTATCTAAAATCTTATTGGTAACATGGGGGAAATTAATTTTTGTGAGAGATGCAGCCTTATCTTCAGCTTGTACATCCAGTATCACCAAATTATATTCGAAGTTTAAATTAGCTTTGCATAATTAAGACTAACAAATGTTAGTCTTTGCAAAGCAAATTTGCTTTTTCCTCTGTGATCTTGAATTTGTATCAAAAAAGCCCAGTTGTCTTTGCTCTTAGATTGCCTCTTTATTAAGTCCTTTCCTTTCAGTGTGCTATGCAACCTCCTGTTGTAATTTAGAGGCTACATAATGTTTTCCAAAGGAGGCTGGATAGCCATCTGTTTTGGATGGTTTAGACCAGAGGTGGGCAAACTACGGCTTGTGGTGCACATCCTGCCCACAGGACCGTCCTGCCCAGCCCTTGAGCTCCCCACTGGGGAGGCTAGTCCACTGTCCCCTCTCCCCTACAGCTACGCCGCTGCACGAGCAGCGCTCTGGTTGGTGGGGCTGCGTGCTCCTGCAGGCAGCATGGCATCGTGTCTGGCTCCGGCTGGGCGGTGTGGCTTCCAGACAAGCTGCTCTGAGTGGCATAGTAAGGGGGTCAGGGAGTCCCGGGGGGCAGTCAGGGGACAGGAGCAGGGGGCGGTTGGATAGGTGTGGGAGTCCCAGGGGGCCTGTCATGGGCGGTTGGATAGGGCGGAGGTTCTATGAAGGCTGTCAGGGGACGGGGAACAGGGTGGGTTGGAAAGACGTGGGAGTCCTGAGGGGCCTGTCAGGGGGCGGGGGTGTGGATAGGGGACAGGGGGGTTGGATAGGGACCGAGAGGTCTCGAGAGGGGGTAGTCGGGGACAAGGAGCAGGGGGGGTTGGATGGGTCAGTGGTTCTGAGGGGGGCAGTCAGGGGGTGGGAAGTGGGAGGGGTTGGATGGGGGGGCGGGGCCAGGCTGTTTGGGGAGGCACAGCCTTCCCTACCCTGCCCTCCATACAGTTTTGCAACCCCCGTGTGGCACTCGGGCCAAAAAGTTTACCCACCCCTGGTTTAGCCACAACAAATCCTACACCTTGGTAGGGGGTTAAACTAGATAACCCTTGCAGTCCTTTCTAACCCTGGGATTCTGTAATGCTTCTGTACAGTCAGATTTTTGGTAATGCCAAAATGTTTAGACATGATACAGTCAGTGGTGCTATCCATCCAGTGTGAGGCTTCTGATGTTTACATAGCTAATTTTAAATCTGCTACGTTAAGGCTGAGTTGTGGCAGGGTGTTAATTTTTTTCCAAGGTGTTGATTAAATTATAAATGCACAGTGAACAGGTCCTGCAGAACCAGTTTTGGAGTGGAATACAGACAGTAATATTCCTTCCAGCAAAAAACACAACTGATTGAGATTCATCTTAAACTAATTCATAAACTGTGTGCAATTTCTTCCTGGTTTGTTTTTAAAATGTTATTAACTCTGTGAAGATACATACTAGGGCTTGGATTATGTATTGTACATTCCCATCATTTAGTACCAGTAACAGGCCCAGTTACGGTGGCACAAGAACAGTACCTATGTATTGAGGTTCTTTTTGATTTCTTGTTTGGAGATACCTGGAGAGATAGGCATCAAGGAATAGCCTATGTAGTATAACCCTACCAAGGGTGGAGTAGATATAGGCTTCCCAGGGTGAGGTGGAAGTGTACATTTTAATATTTGACACCTAGATGCTGCACTCAGTGGTGATTTAGAAATACATGGATATGTAAGGGTTCGTGCATTTGACTTATTGAAGTAGGTGTTACTATTTCTTTCTCGGTTATGAAATAGGTAACCTCTCAAATTCTGATTTTAGTAATGGATTGAACATGCACATGCAGAATACTGTGCAAGAGCTGCTTAAAATAAGCTGCCATTTTGTGACCTCCCACAAAGGTAATGTGTTCATTCATTTTTTTCTTTGCCCTGCAGTGTTTGTGTTCCTAACAGAAAATGCATCACCATTTGGCGATGAGCACTTTTAGCTGATTATCTGCTTTTTAGAATTTGGGTTTCAGCAGTTTGTCATATGGGATTCATAAAGCTTAGGATGGTCTTCTGGCTTTGGGTTATATTAAAGTGCCGAATTCACACTCAGTACCTTCAAGGAATGATCTCGTCATGTTAGATCATTATAGTTTCTATTACAGTAGCTTTTAGAGGCCCCTTTATAGGGGATACAGTACAGACACATAGTAAGAGACAGTTCCTGCCTTAAGGAGCTTACAATCTAAATAGACAATGGAAAGAGTGGGAGGGGATACAGAAGCACGGAGGGGTGAAGTGACTTGCCCAAGGTCACCCACTGAGTCAATGGCAGAGCTAGAAATAGAATCCAGATCTTCTAAATCTCAGGTTAGTATCCTCTCTACTGGACTACACTGCCTCAGCAGGGACTTTTGTAGATTCCAGATTAGTGAAAACATATCTTTTCTCTTAGTCGTCGACAGGAATGGATTCTGAGATGTGCCTAGCAACACTGGGGAAAGTTATTTCATAGCCTTAAGGTGTTCCTGTGTGAGCATTTATTTTATTTTTCCCCCTCACTTTAGACAGGTGGAGGCTAATCTCTGCCTTTGTCAGCTGTGTCAGATGAAAATGGACAGCAAAATCTATCCATTCTACTATGCTGACCAGTTGGTTGTTTTTTTAAAAATACTAAAAAAGAAATAAAAAATGAACCATTTTAAATTTGCTGGTTTGACTAATGTAAATGATCTAGGAAATCGTTAAATATTGTTGATTTGAAGATTTATTTGATCTTAATTATGTTCCGGATAGCATAAGACATTTAGGGAAGTTGTTAGTGTTTATTTTATTGTTCTGTTAGTAGTTATTTTAAAGAGCATCCATGATTTTTTTTTCTCTCCCTTTCTTGTGTTTGATGTTTGTTTGTTTGTTCTTGTTTCTGAAGAATGTGATTCTCTGATGATACTGTATATTTGATATATGGTCATAGTTTTATTGGAGAGACAAGGTGGGTGAGGTAGTATCTTTTTTTGGACCAACTTCTGTTAGAGAGAGAGAGAGACAGGCTGTTGAGCTTACACAGAGCTGCTCTTCAGGTTTTGGTAAACTCAGAAAAATTAAGAGAATATGAGGAGGGGAAGAGTCAGAGATTTCCCATATTCTGGTTTTGGGGAAGTAGGGTATCCCTCCTGTCCTCCCCCCTCTTCAAAAGTTCCATATTACAATAACCATTTCTCTGCTCAAGAACATAAGAATGGCCTTATTGGGTCAGACCAAAGGTCCATCTAGCCCAGTATCCTGTCTTCCGACAGTGGCCAGTGCCAGGTGCCCCAGAGGGAATGAACAGAACAGGTAATAGTCATTGCCAGCTTCTGGCAAACAGAGGCTAGGGACACCACCATTCCTGCCCATCCTGGCTAATAGCCATTGATGGACCTATCCTCCATGAATTTATCTAGTTCTTTTTGAACCCTGTTATGGTCTTGGCCTTCACAACATCCTCTGGCAAGGAGTTCCACAGGTTGACTGTGCATTGTGTGAAGAAATACTTCCTTTTATTTGTTTTAAACCTGTTGCCTGTTCATTTCATTTGGTGACCCCCAGTTCTTGTGTTATGAGAAGTAGTAAACAACACTTCCTTATCTACTTTTCTGCACCAGTCATGATTTTATAGACCTCAATCATATCTCCCCTTAGCCGTCTCTTTTCCAAGCTGAAAAGTCCCAGTCTTATTAATCTCTCCTTATACGGAAGCCGTTCCATACCCCTAATAATTTTTGTTGCCCTTTTCTGAACCTTTTCCAATTCCAATATATCTTTTTTGAGATGGGGCCACCACATGTGCACACAGTATTCAAGATTTGGGCGTACCGTGGATTTATATAGAGGCAACATGATATTTTCTGTCCTATTATCTATCCCTTTCTTAATGATTCCTAGCATTCTGTTAACTTTTTTGACCGCTTCTGTACATTGAGTGGATGTTTTCAGAGAACTATCCACAGTGACTCCAAGATCTCTTTCTTGAGTGGTAACAGCTAATTTAGATCCCATCATTTTATATGTATAGTTGGGAGCATGCTTTCCAATGTGCATTACTTTGCATTTATCAACATTAAATTTCATCTGCCATTTTGTTGCCCAGTGACCCAGTTTTGAGAGATCCTTTTGTAGCTCTTCGCAGTCTGCCTGAGAGTTAACTATCTTGAGTAGTTTTGTATCATCTGCAAATTTTGCCACCTCACTGTTTACCCCTTTTTCTAGATAATTTATGAATATGTTGAATAGGACTGGACCCAGTACAGGTCCTGGGGGACACCACTATTTACTTCTCTCCATTCTGAAAACGGACCATTTATATCTAGATATGTTTCCTATCTTTTAATCAGTTACCAGTCCATGAGAGCACCTTCCCTCTTATCCTGTGGCAGCTTACTTTGCTCAAGAGCCTTTGGTGAGGGACCTTGTCAAAGGCTTTCTGAAAATCTAAGTACACTATATCCACTGGATCCCCTTGGTCCACATGCTTGTTGACCCCCTCAAAGAATTCTAGTAGATTGATGAGGCATGATTTCCCTTTACTAAAACCTTGATTCTTCCTCAACAAATTATGTTCATCTATATATCTGACAATATTGTTCTTTATTACAGTTTCAACCAGTTTGCCCACTACTGAAGTCAGGCTTACAGGCCTGTAATTGCCGGGATCACCTCTGGAGCCCTTTTTAAAAATTGGTGTCACATTAGCTATCCTCCAGTTATCTGGTACAGAAGCTGATTTAAATGATAGGTTACAGACTACAGTTAGTAGTTCTGCAGTTTCACATTTGAGTTCCTTCAGAACTCTTGGGTGAATACCGTCTGGTCCTGGTGACTTATTGCTGTTTAATTTATCAGTTTGTTCCAAAACCTCCTCTAAAGATACCTCAATCTGGGACAGTTCCTCAGATCTGTTACCTAAAAAGAATGGCTCAGGTTTGGGAATCTCCCTCACATCCTCAGCTGTGAAGACCGATGCAAAGAATTCACTTAGTTTCTCCACAATGGCCTTATCGTCCTTGAGTGCTCCTTCAGCGCCTCGATTGTCCAGTGGCCCCAAGGAGGCAGGATGTACAATATCCTCAGGAGCCATTCGCCATTCCTGTTGGCCAGAATAGGGTCACTTGAGCAGTGCAGGAACTGATCACTTTCTCAACAATACTCCTAGCCCTGGGATCGCAGGATCTGAATTCATGTGTTGTTAGAGCTGCAGTAAAGCCACGCTTACACATTTTAACAAAATGGAGAATTTGATACTCTTAACAGTCAGTGTAGCAGCTGGATGAACTCTATTACATAGTAACAATATTGTTTAAAAGCACAAGCCAGATGTTGGAGATTATTGCCCACAACAATCAGTCAATACAAAATACAGCTGCTAAAATAATCTTTCTTGCCCATTGTTCTGACCATGTCACCCCTTTTTCTAATTCCCTCTGCTCAGCTTCCTCCATTTCATCAGGTTCAAACTTCTTGTCTTCACTGCTAAGGCTCTTCACAACTCTCTGCCTCCCTCATCTGTTCTTATCTCTTACCAGGTTGCCCTACACCCTGTCTGCTTCACTGATGATGCCAGCCTTAAACACGTGTTTGTCCACTTCTCCTGCAAATGTCTCTGAACAATCTTCTGTGGTGTCCTATACGCATGGAACTTCCTTCCTGAACTGATCAATAAATCCACTGTTCTCCTTCCTCAAGACCCACTTCTTCTGTGATGCCTGTGAATAATTTCCAAACCAGTGTTGGATGGTGGGAGACATATGAGATTTTATGACAGTGGAAGACATATGAGATTTTATTTATTGGGTTAAAAATAAAAAGCTAAATCTGGAGCCACTGAGTTGTGCATACTATCTGTGTAATTTGCAACACTTAATGTTGCTACTGTTAACCCCAGCTCTTCCTATCTATTCTACTGTTTGTTCACACTGTGCATCATGTTTCAAATTAGATTGCAAGCTCTTTGGGACATAGATCATGTCTTTGTACAATGGCTAACACAGTAGGGCTGCAATCCCAATCGGGGCCTTTGGGCATTACCACAATACAAGTAATAATTAATAACCTATATAAATCTTAGATAGAGGCCATCTGGCCTAAAGGCCTAGTAGTAATGTTCTGCAGCATAATAAGAGAGATCTGGGATCGGCTCTTGGTCTCAGTTTTGGGAAGTGCTGTGGAAGCAACATTCAGAGCTCTTTGTATGGAGAGAAAGCTAATCTCTTACACTAATTAATAGTGACTCCTTTATTTAAACCATGTTTGCTGAAGCAATTTTAAACATGACTCAAAACCACTTCAAGGCTAAAATTGTAGTTTAGTTGGCCTTTGGCTGTCTTTACCCTAGACTTAAAATTGTCCGTTGTTGTTGGTATGGTACAGCTCCACCAGTGATAGAAACAGTGGGAGCACTAGTGTGGATCAGCCCCACAAGCCTGGCATTTTTAACCACTATGTCTTCTAGACTTGCTGTGAACAGTGGCTGCAGTTGACAGCCTGTCTGTACTAGCGCTTCCACCAGTGGTAGTAATGGAATTTTTTTATTATTTAGTTTTATTAAAGAAAAGCCTAGAAGCCCCAACTAAGAATGTGATTTCATAGTGTTAGGTGCTGTATGTACGCGTAGTAAAACGTAGTCGCTGCCCAAAGGCTTACAATCTAAATAGAAAAGGCAGACAAAATGGGGTAGAAAGGAATTGTTATTTGAGAAGAAAAAAGTCTTAAGTGTAGAGAAAGCCTCGATGGATGGAGCCAATCCATGTTACTAATTTTTTTTTTTTTTAATAAATATCATTGCAACCTGGCCTACGCCAGTGGTTAGAACTAGGTCGAGGCTCAATGTGGATGGAGCATGGAGGAGCTCTAAAAGGCAGTTTCATCTAATCGTCCCTGGTTAAAGGAAATTGGCTATAGATCTAAAGAGAGGAGGATGGGAAGATAAATCAGGAAAGAAGGAGAGAGAGCCTTATGGTGCAGATGCGTACATGTGAAAAATAACAAAAATCTCCAATACAAATAGGATGTGAAAAAATTAATTCTTAGTTTTTTTCACTTACTTATTTAAGATGTCTTTTAAACTGAATTGTTGAACTATGCATTGTCCCTGATCTTCGTAACTAGCACTCTAATGTATTTTATTTGACTCTATAAGAGAAACCTTTGTGACAGTTATGTGAGTGCAAGCAACTGTGAGTTTTGTCGTTTTTCCAACACTTCAAAAACATCTTTGATGTTTTTATATCTTAGAATGAAACCATATCACTTTGATGGGGTATAGGTCATCATGTGTAAGTTATAGGTTTGTAAACATGAAAATAATTTGAAATCTAAAAAATACTTATTTTAAGAGTCAAAGTTATTAGGATTTAAATCTGTCTCTGGCTGAAAATACTAATAAAGATTGGAAAACATGCTTCATATAAAAACCCTATACATCTGGCATTGTTTACAAATCACAGCTATATTATATTGGTCATCACTTACAGTCCCCATAATATATACATGATTGTTTTAAATCATTTTGTATTGTAGATGACTTTGATGAATTCATGTTGAGTAATAATGATGTTGTACTCAGAAGTATTGCTGAAGATCTTCGGAATTGCTTACCCATTGAGGCAATGCTTAACTCAGAACATCTTGCGATTCAAAAAGTAAGCTTGTCATTCTGGTCTCTCTCTGCTGCACCACAGCATTCACTCAGAGATTATAATAATAATACCGATGGCAATATGGTCTATTGGCTAGGGCATTGGAGGGATTTGGGAGACCTGGGTTCTGTTCCCAACTCTGCCACTGTTTTGTTTCATGACCTTGGGAAAATCACTTCACCTCACAGTGCCTCAGTTAAATAATTTGATTGTAACTTATTTAGGGCAGGGCCTGTCTTTTATTACATTCATGTAGAGTGTCCAGCACAATGCAGCTAGCCTAGTTATGGAATATAGTGCCTGACTGGCATGATGATTCCTAATTGGGGCCTCTAGGCACTATTACAGTATGAACGTGAAATAAGAAAACTGAAAAGATAGAGCCAGTGGAGTGGTGGTACTACAGTACAGGAGATTCAAGTTTGGCTTCCCCTTCCTTGTTTCCTGAGATATTAGGGAATGAAAGAGGCAGGATGCTCAGTTCATGTGTATTTGGCAGTGGAGAAAAGTAGCATCTTTTCTACTTAAGCACTTCTTCTGTTCATTCCAGGAACAGAGTTAATACATTCCTAGAGGAGCTGCATGTAGTTCTTAACTGGAAAAATGGATTGGCCCTGTACACCAATGCTTTGAGGGGAGGAAAGAGGAGATAGGGGGATGCTTGAGGAATACAACGCCTTGAAATAATAAAAGGCAAAAACAATAATGTCCATCTGATTGAAAATTATACGTGCATTAATCAATGGTGTTTCTGATTCTGAAATATTAAACATGAAAAGTTGTATTTCTTAAACAGTTAAAGTTATAAGAGAAGCAGCATTACCTTAGTGTGTTTCTGGGGTGAGTAATGAGGCATTCAGCTCCCTATCCCCTAAATGTAAGTCACCTCTTCCTTTGCCCAAATTGTAAAGGAAAGAGCGAATGCATTCCTTCCCTAGCCTATAACCTTCACTTGTCTCCTGGGTACCAAAATCCCCAACTGTCCCTTGCCCAGCTGCTCAAACCTCCAGCTTTCCCTTGACAACTTCTACAAAGCAGTTGCTTGTCAGTTGAAAATTGTAGGCTAAGTCTACACACAGGAATTGCATTTATTTAACCAAATAAATTTTAAATAAATCTGTGCAACCACTATTGGGTGGACTCTCTCTTAAATCAATTTGTGTGACTTAAATCAATTTAGCTTAATTTGGTTAGACTAGCCCTACATTTTAGAGAAATATATATTAACTTTAGTATTAAAAGACATAAATTACACAAATACAAGTGGACTGATTGGACAGAACCTTGGGGAAGGTGGAGAGTGCGTGAGGAAGTAAAAACATAATTCCAGAACTTGTGATATGTAATTTAGGTCTAATGCATTGCATAGGACACAGTCTGGACCTTTAGGTTTTGTTTAAAAAACCCAAATCACTGTATAAGTGAAATAAAGAGATTTGTCTGTGATTTTCTTAGATTTCATCTTCTTTTTTAGATACTTGAGCAGCCAGAGCCAACAGTTCATGTTGATGCATTCCTTTATGATGATGACATTATTGATTCATTGTGTGAGAAGGGGAAAATGAGTAGAAACTACTGTGTAGTGTGTGGCTCACACAAGACCGCACCTTTAGGTAAGTACCATGTTGTGAGTGCACAAGCCAAATAGATATGCTGGCTGATTTGTGAATATACAATAGATGTAGCTATTTTATATTGTTAAAAATAGTTATGCAGTAGCTCACCTGAGCAACAGATCATCCAGCTGATTGAGGACTTTGGCCAAGTCTACTCTAGGCGTGCTTTACTAATATAGGTATACCAGCATGCTAGACCAGCAAAGAGCACCTAGAGTGAAAGCTGTTTTATACTCGCAAATCTCAGCACTTTTGCCAGTGTAACTTTTTCCAGCACTCCCCCACCCCAAGGCAAAATAACCTATACTGGCAAAAGGACAGCTTTGCTGGCATAACTGTGGCTATACTAGGGGCTTTGGCCGGTATAGCTATGTCGGTCAAGGATCACGCATCCTCACACCCTTACTGACGTCGCTATTTTATGAGAAGTCTGTAGTGTAGACGTGGCCTTTGTCTTTCCAAACTGGCATAGTCAGCAGGACAGATTATTCCCCACACTCTGCATGGGGGAGAGCACAAGAAGCCTCCTGCACACAAGGGCCAGGCACAGTTGCATGAGTGACCCTAGCCAGCCACAAAGGGGGCAGGAAGTAGACAGGGCTATGGCTATACTGAAGAGGAAAGTGCATGCAGCAGTGTCAAAAGAGATGACACAGTGGCCTCCTCCACCTTCATATGTAGGAACACTAGGAGGCACAGTGACTCTGAGAGCTGCTGTTTGGCCTGGTGCAGCTCTGTGCTACCCCAAAGCAGAGCAGGGTCTTTAAAATGCAAAGCATAAATACTTTATTATAGTAACATTCAGTCTTCTAAAAGCTAGCTGTTCCAATTTAAACTATTTACAGATTTTTTTTGTGAACAGATATATTGTTGTTACATTGAGATCTAAGATACTGTATTCAGTTGTAATACTCTGAATCGTTCACCGCCATTAATGTATAGTAATATTTCCAGGTAAATAATTAGTAGAGCTGTGTGGAGAAAGGTAATTCTATTTCTCAGAGGATTTTAGTGTTTCAGAATTTGGTTTTTTTCCAATTCAGGCTGAAAACCTAAATTTTAAAAATTTTCCCCAAAAGGGAATGGAGCACTGATGCCAAAGTAGTCCAGCAGGGCACTGAGGAGCTGGGTGAGTGAGTTGGCAGGAAAGCAGGCAGGCGTCCCTCAGGACCCCTTCCTGGATTTCCTCAGACATTGTCAAAATCAGACTGTCTCCATGGAACACTATGAGTTTGACAAATCAGTAAATTCCAATGAAAAAATATTTTGTTTGCGTTTTTCCAAGCAGCTCTAATAATTATAGTTAACCTCTCTAATAGAGGAATGGTGCTGATTCAACTAAAGTTAATCTAGTGACTAAGGCCTGTTCTAAGTTAGGTCAACCCAGCTACGTCACTCAGGGGAGTGAAAAATCCACACCCCTGGGTGACATAGTTCAGCCGACCTAACCCCTGATGTACACGATGCTAGGCCGACAGAAGAATTCTTCCATTGACCTGGCTACCACCTCTCAGGGAGGTGGATTACCTACACCAATGGGAGAGCCCCACCCATTGGCATAGGTGGTAATTTCCCTGAAGCACCGCAGCAACGCAGCTGCAACACTGCAGCTGTGCTGCTATAGTGTTTCAGATGTAGACAAGCTCTAAGTCATAGCACAGGACACTGCAGACTCAGATGGTTGATGGAGCCCTATAATAAAAAAGTGTATAGGAAACAAGAATTAAAATATAGTAGAAGGGGAGATCTGTGTCAGAGTAGGGTTATGCTCTGCTGAATATTTGGCACTGGTGAATGTTACCCATGTAACACCTTTGTTCTGTTCTGCTTTTATTTCTCAGAGTTTATTTCTCATTCCTTTTCCCTCATGGAACTGAAGTTTCTTTATCGGTATGCGTTGCCTGACCTGACAGGAAAGATTCTGGTTGACGTTGGCTCCAGGCTTGGTGCAGTGCTATTTGGGGTAAAATCCAGCATGGGAATTCATATTCTGTTTCTGTGCCATACTTTTCCCTTCTCCAGCTGGCAGCTTTCATTGTTCCATACTTTATCTTCATCTGAGGGGACAGAACAACAAATAGCCATCTATAGCATGAAGCATCCAGCCAGTACGAGGTGTTGTATTCTTGTTCACTCAGTTCTCCTTCTGCTTCTCACAGAGACGAAAACACTGTTGATCTCACTTATTGACTTGCCTCCACAAACCATCAGAATTACTTGTCCAACAGTGTAGCATTTTGCTGTTGCACACCCTGGCTGCTCTTTAGTTTGTTACTGCTCAGTCTCACATTGCTAAATTAATGTTTTCTTCCCTGTTCTGGCCAAATATTCTGCTGAGTTTTGGTAAATTCCATTGTGATGCTGGGAAACTCTTAAATTTCACTGAGATACTTTTGATATGAATTTGTCTCCTAGCTCAGTGTTTCTCAACCTTTTTGATACCAGGGACTGGCTTGCTGCCTTCTGAACTGTGTCCGGGAAATCTCAGGGACCAGCGCCAGTCCATGGACCCGTTGTTGAGAAACACCGCCTAGTTAACACTTAAAGCATTTTGTCCTATCAAATACTTTATCAGAAAGCTCAAATGTATTTCAGATTGCTGTTGGCATGCTTGGTACAATGTATGGCCAACAGCAGCACAAAACATATATGGGTGTAAATTATATCAGTTAATACAAATTTCTTAACAAAGTCAGTGGCTTCAATAGGGGTCTGATCTTGGAGACACTTGAACATGTAACTTTACTCCTCTGAATAATCCAGTTTGGGATTAATCATGAATAACGTTACTCCCACATGTGAATGTTTGCGGGATTGGGTCCTTAAATGTTAACATTTTGTTGTCAGTTATTGGATTTATTTTGACGTTCTGGAGCACTTATATTGTTGTAATGAAAGAAAGCCTCAAGATAAAGCAGCAATATAATTAAAAGAAAGGTTCTCTTTTTCATCAAATTCTTGGCTTGTATTTCAGAAGTGGCAATTTGCCACGTTTTATCTGCACAGGTTCCCTTTCTAGCCAGAGGGTTGAAGGGCTTCAGAAAGCTCTAATAATCAAGTTGCAGTACATCAACATCTGTAACATTGTGTGTTTGTCATTTTTTTTTAAACTTTCCTATGTTAGCTAAGTGTAATTATAGTGTTCATTGTAGATAAAGTTGTAGTTAAAGTTGCAACATTTTACCCATTGTAGGCTGATGTTTTCTGGCATTCATACTTTCCCCAAAATTCTCCTTTTGGACAGAAACTTTCCATGATTGGTCTGAGTCCAAAGGTAAATTATTTTAGAATAATGTTTAGAAAATGTAATTCCATCATTTTTGAATTATTGGTGAAATATAAATTATTATTTACATTTTTTACATTTTAAAAAAATACTATATCTATATAAGTAGCATTGTTCAGTCTAAGGTATGTCTACACTATGAAATTAGGTCGATTTTATAGAAGTCTATTTTTAAAAATCGATTTTATACAGTCGATTGTGTATGTCCCCACTAAGCGCATTAAGTCGGCAGAGTGCGTCCTCAATACCGTGGCTAGCATCGACTCATGGAGCGGTGCACTCTGGGTAGCTATTCCACAGTTCCTGTAATCTCCACTGCCCATTGGAATTCCGGGTTAAGATCCCATTGCCTGATGGGGCAAAAACATTGTTGAGGGTGGTTTTGGTTACATGTCATCAGTCGCCCCCTCCCTCCCTCCCTCTGAAAGCAATGGCAGACAATTGTTTTGTGCCTTTTTTCCTGGGTTACCCATGCAGGTGCCATACCACGGCAAGGATGGAGCCTGCTCAGCTCACCGCTGCTGTTGTGAGCATTGTAAACACCTCGTGCATTATCCTGGAGTATGTGCAGAACCGGACTAAGAGACACCAGCACGAGGACAATTGTGATGAGGACATGGACACAGGCGTTCCTGAAAGCACGAGCTGTGGCAATTGGGATATCATGGCGGCAGTGGGGCTGGTTGATACAGTGGAACGCTGATTCCAGGCCCAGCAAACAAGCACAGACTGGTGGGACCACATAGTGTTGTAGGTATGGGATGATTCACAGTGGCTGCAAAACTTTCGCATGCGTAAGGCCACTTTCCATGAACTTTGTGAGTTGCTTTCCCCTGCCCTGAAGTGCAGGAATACCAAGATGAGAGATGTCCTGACAGTTGAGAAGTGAGTGGCAATAGCCGTGTGGAAGCTTGCAACCCCTGACTGCGAATCAATTTCAAGAATCAATTTACTGTGGGGACTGCTGTGATCCAAATAGCCAACGCAATCACTGATGTTCTGCTATCAAGGGTAGTGACCCTGGGAAATATGCAGGTCATAGTGGATGGCTTTGCTGCAATGAGGTTCCCTAACTGTGGTGGGGCGATAGACAGAACGCATATTCCTATCTTGGCACCAGACCACCTTGCCAACCACTATGTAAACCACAAGGGGTACTTCTCAATGGTGCTGCAAGCACTGGTGGATCACAAGGGACGTTTCACCGACATCAACATGGGATGGCAGGGAAAGGTGCATGACGCTTGCATCTTTAGGAACTCTGGGCTGTTCGAGCAGTTGCAAGAAGGGACTTACTTCCTACACCAGAAAATTATCGTTGGGGATGTTGAAATGCCAATAGTATCCTTGGGGACCCAGCCTACCCCTTGCTCCCATGGCTCATGAAACTGTACACAGGCAGCCTGGACAGTAGTAAGGAGCAGTTCAGCCAGACACCAGGGCGATTAGAAGAGCACAGCTGGGCGCACTGTGCATCAGAGGCTTTGAAAACCAGTTTCACGACTGTCCAGGCTACAGTGTGACAGTTGTATGTGTTTCTCCTTGCTGCAAACCCTCCCCCTTTGTTGATTTTAATTCCCTGTAAGCCAACCGCCATCCCCCCTTCGATCACAGCTGGCAAAGGAAATAAAGTAACTATTGTTTTGAAACCATGCATTCTTTCTTTATTAATTTAAAAAAAAAAAGTGAGATAACTGAGAAGGTAGCCCGGGTGGGGTGGGGTGCGGGAGGAGAAAAGGACAAGGCCACTTTGCTTATTGTAGCCACACTACAAATCAAAGCTGTTTGAATGACAGCCTTCTGTTGCTTGGGCCATCATCTGGAGTGGAGTGGCTGGGTGCCCGGATCCTCACCCCCGCCCCCCATTCTTGGGCGTCTGGGTAAGGAGGATATGGAACTTGGGGAAGAGGGCAGGCGGTTATACAATGGATGCAGCGGGGATCTGTGCTCTTGTTGGCTTTCCTGCAGCTCCAACAGACCCTTCATCATGTCTGTTTACTCCCCCATTAACCTCAGCATCGCCTCCTGCCTCTGCTCTTCGTGCTCACTTAATGCTTTCCTGGCCTCTGCCACTCCGTGCATTAAGCTGTGCCCTGTCAGTGCGGGATGACTGCATGAGCTCGGAAAACATGTCATTCCGAGTGCGTTTTTTTCGCCTTCTAATCTGTGATAACCTCAGGGACGGAAATGATAGGGGGAGCATAGAAACATTTGCACCTGGGGGGAGATAAAAAGGGAGAGTAAAATTTAAGACTATACATTTTCTGAGAACAGAAGGGAGACTCTTTCACAGTGAATCAAGCAATTCACAGCAGACAGCACATGTGCTTTAGGTATAAGGTTGCATTTTGCCTTTTATATTGAGCACTTGCCGGTATGGTGACACATCACAAACAGCTGGGCAACAGAATTTGGTTTCCAGGCAGCCATGGTAAGTCTTTTGGTACACAGGGTTGGCTTCTTACACCTTCATAACATGGGAATGGTTTCAAACTGTAGCGCCATCCTTTCCCATAGCACGCAATGCCATTTGGGTTTCACATTTAAAAGGAGGGGCTGCAGTTTTTGGGTGGATGTGCAGCACATACCTCCCCCCACCTCCGCCACGTGGCTATTCTCCGGGATGATCCCTTTTAGCCAAGCGCAAACAACCCAGCATGAACGGGGTCCTTTTACTGTTCCCTTACAAAAATTCCCCTATTTCAACCAGGTGACCATGAATGATATCACTCTCCTGAGGCTAACACAGAAAGATATAGACCGAATGTTGCTTGAATGCGACCAAAATCTAGGAACGTTCGCTGCCATGCTTTGTGTTGGAATGATTCCAGACTACTTGCTACTGGCTTGGCGCGGTAAAGTGTCCTACCGTGGAGGATGAAATAAGGCAGCCCTCCCCAGAAACCTTCCGCAAAGGCTTTCAGCGTATCTCCAGGAGAGCTTCATGGAGATGTCCCTGAAGGATTCTCGCTCCATCCCCAGACACATTAACAGACTTTTCCAGTAGCTGTTCTGGCTGCGGATGCACCCCAATTCTTCAGGGCAAATCAAACATTAAACACTATTGCTTTTAAACCCTGTACTGTAGTTACAAATGTGCGCTCACCAGAGCTGTCTTCTCCGGCTTCAGGGTCAGGGATCCCGGCTTCAGGGTCAGGGATCCCGCCTTGGGAGGGTATTGGCTCCAGGGTGATGAAAAGGTCCTGGCTGCTGGGGAGAATGAGTTCACCGCTTGCCTGCTGTGCATTCTCCTCCTCCTCTTCCCCATCCACAAAATCCTCCTCCCTGTTGGGTGAGACTCCCCCCTTGCACGTGTCCATGGACAGTGGTGGGGTAGTGGTAGGGTCCCCCCCTAGAATGCCATGCAGCTGATCATAGAAGCGGCATGTATGGGGCTCTGACCAGGAGCAACCGTTTGCCTCTTTTGTCTTTTGGTAGGCTTGCCTGAGTTCCTTAACTTTCCTGCAGCACCGCTTTGTGTCCCTGTTGTAGCCTCTCTCCATCATGCCCTGTGCGATTTTGGCAAATATATCTGCATTTCTTTTTGATCGGAGTTCGGCCTGCACAGATTCTTCTCCCCATACAGCAATCAGCTCCAGTGTCTCCCTTTTGGTCCATGCTGGAGCTTGTTAGTGATTCTGGGGAGACTGTATGGTCACCTGTGCTGCTGAGCTCGCCATGCTGACCAAACAAGAAATGAAATTCAAAATTTCTCGGGGCTTTTCCTGTGTACCTGGCTAGTGCATTGGAGTTCAAAGTGCTGTCCAGAGTGGTCACATTGGAGCACTCTGGGATAGCTCCCAAAGGCCAATACCCTCGAATTGCGTCTGCACTACCTCAGATTTGACTCAGCAAGGTCGATTTTAGTGCTACTCCCCTCACCATGGAGGAGTACAGAAGTCAATTGTAAGAGCCCTTTTGGTCGATGGAATGGGGTTGGTTGTGTAGACGCATTCATTTTAAGATCAACCTAATGCAGCTAAATTCGACCTAACCCTGTAGTGTAAACCAGGGCTAAGAGGAAATCCTGTTGTGAGTTCTTCCATCCCATATAGGTGCAAATTGGACTCCAGATTCATACAATTTGTGGCGGGGTGTGTGTTGTTGGATATTTCTGTTGCATTCTGTTCTCCTGCAAAAGAAAACCGATAAATAAAAGAATCCCAACACAATGTGTGTTAATTCCACTCCCTCCCCGACTTCAGTTTATTTTTATAATTCGGTTTGTGCTAACTTTAGGTTTTTTTCCCCATTTCCTTAAGCCAATTTCTGTGTATGTGCCAGTAGAAGTGGAGGTGGAATTGTTGCTTGCTTTCCTTTCTTTTCTTGGCCTATCAGCTCACATCTTTTTTTCATGATAATATTCATAAACCATTTACTGTAACTGCCAAAAAGAGGGTCTTAGCCCTGGAAAAATATGCAGTTCACTCTAGTGCATTTCCTACCATTAAGTTTTAAAATTAATTGAAAATTTTTTAACAACCCCCCCAATGCACTTTTTTTAAACCTGTCTCTAATCATAACCTTTGTTTTTCACTTTATAATGTTTAGTTTTTCCACTTTAGGTTAGAAGTCATTTTACAGGCACCTCAATTATTAGATTTCCTCTCTTTATTTCAGGGCTATCTTTACAGCTCAGCATCCCAGCTGTATGGAGTGGAAATGAATGCAGACTTTTGCCAGTTGCAAGAAATGATAATCACAAAATACCAATTTACAGACAGAGTAAAGGTGACTAAAGACATTTTATAATGTGTATATTTTTTAACCAACTCTATAATAGATTAGTTAATTCTATGCCAATGAGAGAGGCTGGTAAAATCAGTGCTGTTCTAAAGATAAATCTGTACTTCGTTGGTTTGATTTTAAACAAAACAAAAAAACGTTAATGTCCATTAAAATTGAGAAGAGATTAAAAAAATTCTGTTTTAAAATATAGTAATTTTTGATTCATTCAGCCTTTTATCTGAGTATGGCTCAATCTGTCAACTGACCACAAACACATACTGGTCTCATTAAAATCAATAGAAGTTCTACCACTGTTTCACTGTTTGTTGAAACAGGTTTAAGCCAGTATATTAAATGTTTATGTCTAGAATGATAAGAATAGCAAGAGGCATCTGGGGTTTCCATGTTTTGTTAAGAATAGCAAAGATACTTTCAAGGATTTGCATTTGAGTAGAAGCTAAGGTCTGCAGGCTGACAACTTTGGGTGTTGTATTTCTTTATTAGTTTCTTTGGAACTGAGAATTTCAGTCATATTAGTGCACATGTATGTCAGAAAAACAAGAAATGTTCCAAACAAACTCAAATCATTAATATACAGAGATGCTGTTTTCATAATGAGAACAGTTCCTTTTTGGGACTGTCTGAATCCGTGCAAAAGGTCTTGTGGTCAAAGGCAATGAATAAAACACATTAGTGAATTCCTGGCCCCATTGAAATGAGTGACAAAACTCTCAGGGTATGTCTATACTGCAGCTGGGAGTGAGCTCCCAAGGCACCGGGGAATGGGGTGGGTCCAGCTTGGGTGGCTAGCCTGGGCCTTCGCTGGTGCTGCAGCGTCCACACTATTATTTTTTTTGCACTAGCTCGAGCCCCACTGGGATGAATCTGTTTACTTGGGCTGTGAGGCTTGCTCCTAGCTGCAGTGTAAACAAGGCTTCTGATGTGTCTGAAATATATCCGTGAAATGCGATAGTACTGTACAACAGAATGCTCCATCAGGTTAATTCACTAGAGACTGTAGATGTATATACATGTTCCTGAGTTGCTTTATATCTTGAAAATATATGCCCTAAATGTTAGTTTTTCTACAGACTTTGTATTTCTGCTGAAGTGTTACACTTTTCAGTGTATAAAGATAAAAAAGAGAATACATTTTCAAAGCAGTGCCTGGGGACTTTGTCATTCAACTCCCACTTGATGTTAATTTAGTCCTGTGACTCCTGTTATTACACACTGTTTTGAACATTATCACACGCTGCTTTAAACATTTCATTCTAAGATTTCAGCTTCACCCCAAAATGAATCATCTCTTTTATTACATCCTTTTTGGAGATGTATAGTAGCATGAAAAAACAGCCAGAAGCCAGTTGGCTAAGTAATAAGTAGGTAAAAAGAGGTTAAAAATCTTGGAGGAAAAAAGCCTCATAATGGCCACTGTTATCTGGGATGTTCTGATAAAAATACAGAACAATACACTCTTTCCACTGTAACCTCTACTACCTGAGATATCAGGGTAAAACAATTTCTATATTTAATAGTGAATTTATGAGTGAGTCTTGTGCTGTGCTGTTCTGTTCATAAATTAAAAAATAAGTGCATAGAAGTCACTTATGTTGTACCATGTTTGGTGTGAATGCTTAGATGTTGGTTAAAAAAACAACAGAAGTTGGGGCACATTCAGGAAATCACCCTTACATGTATCTAACTTTAATACACTTAACTATTTTTATATAGTAGTTTGGTTTTCTCTTAGTACTGTGAAAATCAAACTTTTCAGTACTGATTTCTTTTTCCCTTTCAATTTAGCAAACAGTCAGTCCTCACCTTTGGTTGACGAATACTTATATATAGCACACACACTTTTTTTTTCTTGGCAACATTGTGGAGGATTTGGAATTCAGAGGACACTGTAAAAGAAGGTATTATAGATCAGATTTGAGACTATTGACATAATGCCTTTAAATCACCAAATTAGAAAAGAGTGTATAACAGTTCCAAGAAACAAGAATTGTACTGTACCCAGATAAAATTGTCATTCAGATTAAAGAAAGTCCTGAGAATAATGTCCAAAAATCTTCTTAACCAAAGAAGCCGTGAACTTAATCCCATAGGTGCACTAAGAAGTAGGAGTATAAACTCTCTTAATGAACCCTTTGGCACTATTCTCTTAATTGGATGATAGTCAACCGTGCTACTAGTTCTTCATTTTTAACTAGTCTTAGAGTTTTATTTTCATTAAAGTGAATACTGAAATGTTTGGCTATAATGGAATCACTACAAAATATTCTGTTAGTGTCTGGGCATTGCTGCATGAGTCAGAATGATACATTCTCCCCACTTCAGTTGCTACAATGCTCCTTTGCATAGGGAGTGTCTCTTTCCTATAGTGATCAGAATAGTGTACATCTGCTTAATTGATCCAAGTGCAGATATTTCCTTTGTGAAGTTAAGTTTTGATAAAACCAAAGCTTTGTCCTTCAGGAAGGACCATTTGAACTGCAGGTTACCCCAGTCAGGAGGGGAAAGACAGATCACTTTCCCTCCCAGTACCAGCAGGCTTTTAAGCAATTCAGAGGGTGAATAAGAAGTTATGGTTTCCTAGACAAGAAAATAGTGCCAAAAGTGTTTTCTCCTCTACACAAATACTTCATTTTCCTGTGAGAAGACACCATTCGCCAAGTTACCTGAGCCTTGTGTTAATTACCTGAACACTAGCAGAGATTAACAAAATGTGGGATATCCAACCTGCTAGATTAGTGTGTGGTATCATCCCACCACAATAACTAATTTACTCTCTATTAGATTAGGTATGCAGCCTAGCCATTCTTCAAGTGCTTGCTCATGTCCATTCCATGTTAGGTGTGTGCACGCCGTGTGCACCGCTGCCAGAGATTTTTCCCCTCAGTGTTATCCATTGAGCTAGCTCTAGTGCCCTCTGGTGCCATGCGCTTATGCACCGGTATAAGGGGCACCTCTGGCACCGCACTCTGTCAGTTCCTTCCTTCCAGCATGTGACAGTTGATGGAATGTCACTTCCGGCAAGGTGTTTTTTCTCTTCAAATTTAATTTATTAGTCTTAGCTGCATGTCCATGAGTTCTGAGCCCACCTCCTTGGGTACTGCTTGTGAGTCTCCTAAAGTGGAATGGGCATGACATGAGCAAGCATTCGAAGAAAAAACAGTTACTAACCTTTCCATAATTGTTCTTCAAGATGTGTTGCTTATGTCCATTCCATGATTCACCCTCCTGCCCCTCTATCAGAGTTAGCAACCCAGAGAGAACTGAGAGGATGCAGGGATGGTGATGCCCCTTATACCAGTGCATAAGCGTACAGCATCAAAGAGCGCTAGAGCTGGTCCAGTGGATACCAATGACGGGGAAATCTCCAGCAACGGTGCATGTAGCTTGTGCATACCTAACGTGGAATGGACATGAACAACAGTTATGGAAAGGCTAGTAACTGTTTTTTCTGCATTATCAGTCTCTTAATACTGACTATAAAAGCTGACCAGTGCCCCTGCATCATCCTGTTTGTCCACCATGATAATGTCACTTCTATAAGTAACACTTTCATGATGACAGTGATCCAGTGTTCAACTTCAGAATGAATACGCAAAGTTTCAGTTTAGCTGGTACCAGAAGTTAGATAAATTCACTAGGTTGATTTCTAATTGGTAGGGACACTTCAAATCAGATCTTGGTGCACATGTAACACATGGATTGACAAAATCCCAAAAGAGATGATACTACTACTTTTTTTAGTTAGAGATTTAAGATTTATTTCTCTGAATTAGGAGAAAAGTCCTCCAACTTCCTGTTAGAGTTTTGATGAGCCTCCAAATTCCCCCCTAAGTTAGCAGCAGCAGCTGCCCCACAACTCCATTTTCTGCTACCATTGTTTTGGCTGAGGAAGACTGGACAGGACGCTGACGTTCAAGAAGAGCTCCTGTACTGACTGGAGAAATACCTGTTTAATGATATGAGGCACTCTGTCTCTGCAGTTCTCCCTCTGAGAGCTGAGCGCATCGCATCTCCATTACTCCCAGTATGTGGAAGGAGAATACAATAACCAAACTTGGGTCTTCATGGCCAGTCTGAGCCGTAATCACTAACCAACCAGCTCAGCCCTTAAAATGCATTTAAATAGCTTCATAAAAAGCTTTAGCTGGATTAAATTCTTTACTGAAATTAATAAACATTCATGATAAAGCATAGGTAATTAAAATATAATAGTAATTTCCTAAATCTTCTATTGTGGCATTCAATGATCAAGATCAAAAGTACAAGTAGATGTAACATATTTATATTTAATATACATAATGAATTAAGTACTGTAATTACTGAGGAAATAAAACTGGCTTCTCTGACACTCACGCTAGTGAGTTCATTTGTATATTACTTAATATGAATTGTATACCTTTTTATGATCTGTAGAAGATGTTGGCAACAGATACTGTGCTCTATGGACAGACCATGTCTATTAGAAAGCTGTGTATCTTCTTCTAAGTTACCTTTTACATATGTACAATGATTTCTCCTTCAGGTGCTTCATTCAGACATCTGTACTCAGGCTTCACTCCTTCAAAATGCTGATGTTGTTGTAATGAATAATGTCTTTGAATATTTTCTTGACAGACTGGAACAGGCCAGGTAAGTATGTGTCCAAACAAGTAATCAGTTTCTCTGCCAGTGGATTTAACCTTGCAAGTTATAAAAAATCCTTTATATTGTGCTTTTTGAAGTCACACACATAATTTGTATTAGAAAAATGTATTTTAAAATGCCTGTACTTGATTTAGTCAGATTTAGCAGCTAAAACTTAAGGGCAATCTTTAGTTCTGAATCTACTAGAAGCTTTTTCTCTTAGTTCCAGCAAAACATTTCTCAGAACATTTGCACTAATCTGTTAAAATAGGGTACTGTCTTTATAGGAAATAAATTGTCTTCAATTGCTTTAACAACATAAATATTAAAATCTGTAACAAAATAACAAGAGGGTCCTTCATCAAACCTATGGATTACAAAAGGGCTATATATTCACACTGCAAATTACAGTTACTAGTGATATTTCAAACATGAAGTCCTCAAGGGCAAGCTATAAAGGGCTAAGGCATGGTTAAGACTACACCTGTGTTTGCTGAGACACAATTATGCCTTTACCTGCCTTCTTAAGCATTAAAGATTATTGGCTTAATGTTGCACAACAGGCCTAAGGAAGAATGAGGTTTGCAGAGTGATGGAAACTATATTCTTCTTAGTCAATATTGCTGTGCTATGTGAAATGATCTGACTTGTAAAATCAGGAAAAAGTAATGCTGGAGGATATATCTAGAATACTGTGATTATGTTAATTTACCTCAAAGTATTTTGTCACAACTGCAGTATAGTGATATGAAGAGAAACTTGTGGCTACAGTGAATAAAAAACTGAGAGAGGACTAGCCTCTCTCCTCAGAGACCAGAGTTCAAATTCTGATTTAGGTCACAAATTAAGTTGTCTGGAGTTTCATCCTAGTTTAGAGTGGATATTTGTTGAGTATCACAAAAAAACAACAGACTTGGACATAACCGGCAGCCTCTCAGGCTCCAGATTGGAACAACAAGAGTGTTGAATGTCATGGGTAAGGTATGTTAGAAGAGTCACCACAGGCCACTGACAGAACTATTCATTCTTCCCTTTTTTGAGCACCAACTAAACCTAATTTTAAAAAGGAAAAGAGACAACATATTTCAAAAATAAAACTCCAAAGCCATATAATCCCTCTGATCTGCATGAGTAGTTCCCATTGGTGTTAGTGGCTGGTCCACACACAGACGTACAGTAAGATATGAACAGTGACTTTATACTAAAGCACAAATGGCAAATGTTTAAAATCAATCTACTTCTGGTCACTAAATTATCAGCGTTAAATTCATTTTATATTGAATGTGTTTCTTTCTCTAAAAACTGGCAATCTTTTGATCTTTAAATACTATATTTGGAATTTAAAATGTGTTTCAGAGCCTGGGAATTTATGAGTCATAATATGAGGAAAAAAGGGTCATTATTAGTGACAGTCCCAAGCCTTGAAGAATCTATCTCAAACCTACAGGTTCGTGGTTCTTTTTCAAATAGTTTTAGCTGACAAATTTTATCTTACTCTTTATGAAGGTGTTATAGTGAGTCAATATGCAGTCTAATAGTTACTATTCAGGCTGCATAGTATCAAATGGTTAGAGCAGAGAACTGGGAATCAGGACCCTGGGATCTATTCCCAGCTTTGCCAACAATTTCCATGACCTTGGAAAAGTTATTTCAATCTCTCTGTGCCTTGGTTCCCCAGCTGTAAAATTGGGATACTGTTTATCTACCCCATAGGGCTGTTATGATGCTTAATTCATACCAGCCCTTAATTTTGAGGATCTCAAAGTATTATACTATTATTCAAGCCTATACTATGTCTGTTTTGAGTTGTATAACATGCTTTCCATCAATATATTACTGGGATTATGGGTGGAAATATAAAATCATGTGTATAATTAATCGGCAGATGTTAATCCAAAGAGATTCCCATTCCAATTAAAAACTCAGTATGTTTTCTGCAGTCAGACCCAAACTTGAGTAAACAGAAAATATGAATGAGTTACTTTTTCAGAAATTATCCTTACTCTTTTCTATTTAGGTAAAATGATGCTTCCAGAAATAAGTTTAACTTACCAATGGTGAATAAGCTGTAATGGCTAAACTGTCTTTCTCTCCTCTTTTCACTGATGTCTGCCATCCCTGTAACATAAGTTGAGTTGGTTGCTCAAAACTGTGTTAATTTATGTATCGGTTTTTAATTGTTTCAGACGGATATACTGCTCAGCCAGTGGGTAGAAGAAATGAAGTTGGACTATGATGTATACATGGAAAAGGATATTGATAGAGAAGCACTTGAACAAATTCATTTGTACAAGATTCTCTAGCATACAGACTGATTTACTGATAACAGTATAAAATGATTGACTTCGGAGGGAGTTGTGTGAAAGGGCTTAATCCTACAGTCCTATTTCCAGAATAAATCGTGAAATATCTTACTATTTATTTTAGAAATTATACATATTCTCACAATGAAACAGGGGCTTTTGAGAACATATTTTGTGATGTCAAATTTCTTGCATTAAAGTTCTCAGTGTGTCATAACAGTGCAAAAAAATTTTAGCCACTAGGTATCTCCTGTAGCTTCATTCTGCATGGAAGTGTTTTGAAAGAATGGCAGTCCACTAACACCAGAAGAGTCCATCTTGTGCTCTGTTAATGGCTGTGAACCTCCCATTTTAAAAATATATATATTAACAGAAAAATAGTGACCCACTATTAAATGTGAATGGTATTCATATATTTAACACAGCTTTATTTAAAAGCTGTAATATATTATGTTGGGTTTTTAGTACTGACAAACTTACAGTAGTGCTATTAATATTCTGCCTATGGAATTCCTGATTTTTTTAAGGTCTGCACAGTAGCTACAGGTATTGGTGTAGAAAGGACTATTGTCCCAATTTAGAGTAGCATTGTGACAGTGATGATCTCCTTCTAGTCAATGGTTCCCCAGTTGACTGTTGATGTAAGATACTTGGGGATAAATAAGAATCCTTCAGAAATATTGGTCTAAGTATAGGAGAATGAAAATCTGCTTCACTTCCTTAATTTTAATGAGGATTGTAAGGGGTTAAGAAACTAAATATTCTGAGCAAGAGTTATGGCCTAGCATAATCTTTGGTGATGTAAAACATTGGCAATACACAATAACAGAACCGTCCCCAAACCCTCCCAAAGAGAAAGAACAACAACACCAAGCTGATATTTATATTTTCTATTCCAACTGTAGAAAACTTTCAGTTCGTTGAAAAGTTTTTCAGCCTTAGACATCACTGACAATCAATATGTTTTGTGTTTATCTGCAGGAATTTTTGACTAAGTGCAGTGCCAATTGGAAGCAATGTTACTGTATGTCTAAAAGTTTTCTACACAAGTTATGGCCTGCTCAAGTAGCAAAACATTATACTGGCTACACTTTTTATTTTTCTAATAATTTGCAGCAAAGTATACCTGTAAAATGTTGTAATAATATATATGGAGTCAAAAAGATGTAACGGCTAATTGGGGCCTTAATAGCACACCAAATACTTGGATCTTTATTGTGTGGGTAGAGCTTTATTTTTGAGGCCAAGAAGTCAGACTTTTCTCACTTGATTTTGTTTTTGGGGGGTTGTAATGTGACTTATGTTGAGCCTGTACCTTGAGACTCTGGTGGTTGCATTTTTCATAAATAATAAAATTAATAAAGATGGAAACTTATGGTTAAAAAGTTTCTATTTATTTTCTTTATCTAGAATAATTGAGCCCCTCAATATTGTGTTCCTGCCTGTACTGATCAACTAGGAAGCAATTCCCCATGAGGTTAAGCCACATGCAAGATGGCTGCAGTATAACGCTGTGATCTGAAAATGAATGAGGGGGTCACGAAACAAGAAAGGACATGTAATATGCATTTCAGAATGAGGAAACAAGCTCTGCAACCATAATAATTAGCTCAGAAAGGTATGACAGAAGTTTGTGACTGAATTTCAAACTTACAATTAGGGCTCCTATTGGGGAAAAAAGTGGTATGACTTGGTCATAGAAGGCTACTTTAATAAAAAATACTGCCTTATAAGCAGAAAATAATTCCACACATTGGTATTTTGCTCATGTTTCAGAGGTACAGGAAGGATCAGTCACTTCTCAGTTTTCGCTACTTCTTAGTTTTCTCCATGTGACTGGTCTGGTTTGTAATTTTGCAATTTGTTTTGGTAGTAACTATGTAAGGGGTGTCAGGTTTCACCACTCTCTCTTCCTTCCTTCCTGCTTCTCTTCGACTCCCCAAATGCTTTGGTTTTTAAGTTGCTGTTGGGTAAAAATTTCAGTAGAGAGAGGCTGGAGCAAATCCATATTTTATGACATTTGGACCCTCTGACATGGAAAATATTACCTATACATCTGGAGCTCATGTACAATAGAGGCTATTACAGGAAGGCTCCTATTGCCTTTTTAGTTCCGAGGCAAGTCCATGCTAGTGTAACTTACATTTTCACTTGACACTCTCATCAAGCATGTGAGATTTGGACACCCTTAAACTGACTGACATAAACTATCACTCTCTCTTACCCAAATGGAACTTACATGCCTTCTGACAAGTCCACTCTTAATTTGGCCCACAGAGTTTGTGTGTGTCCTAAGGGAGTGTGAGTTGGTGTAATTAATGTGTTGAGGACTGGAAGAGAGGAACATAACAAGAAAAGCAACTGTGTGTGTATGAAGGTGTAAGTTAATGTAGACCACCCTCTCCTTCAATTTTCATGATCTTCTGGGTCCTTGATGCATAAGTTTCACAAATTTTGACTCTGCTACACATGGGTAGAGTGGATGTAAGTTAGCCTGGCTGCAAAGGGGATGGGAGTGTTACACAACTTTGCACATTCACAAATCTGAAAGATGAGTTAAAATTCTGCAATTTTTTCAAAATATCAGATTAGGTATGGAGTGTCCAGGCAGGGTTCTAGTCTCAGCTGTGCCCCGACACACTGTAGGGCTTTGGGCAAGTCATTGAATTTTTCTCACTCCTGTATAAAATGGGAATAATATCTACCTCATAGAGGGGTTGGGAAGCTGAATTAATTGTCTGTTAATTGCTTTGAGATCCCTGGATGAAAATAGAAGTGCAAAGTCAAGCTGGCCTTTGTGAACCTGCGAAATCTATAGTTGCAGGGCCTGCCTAATTTGAGGGACCTAAAAATGGAAAAAATCTCAAACTTTTTTTTGTAAGTGAAGTTTCTAATCTTTTTCCTTGCAAAGCTAGCCTTGAAAATGGAACCTATGTAAAATGCTCAATCGTGCTGAAAGTTTGATGTCCCGCCCCCAATATCACACACTATCACAGTCCCCTCGCAGCCACCCAGGGTGGTCACTGGGATCTGGAAAAAACTATGGGTCTGTCTGTAGTTCTCTTGGTTTTTGTAAAGATCTCAGATCAGTTCTTGTCTGTATGGGCAGTACACCCCAGCCTACTACTGGTGGCACTATGGCTGTTGCAGGCTCTCTTCCAGATGGCTGCCTGTGGCTGAGCCAGCTCCTCCGCAAAGCAGCAAGCATGACCTCTGGCTGCAAAGAGAGAGAGCTCTGTGAAAAGCAGCAGGTGCAAGGGGCTAAGCTAAGCTTCGGCTGATACTCTGTTGTCTTGATCAAGTCACAAAGTCCAAAATTTTCAAACTAGGTGCCTAAAGTTAAGTACCTAAATTCGGGCTCTCAATTAATCACAGTTAGCTCATGTGATTAACTCAAAAAAATTAATCACAATTAAAAAATTAATTGCACTTATAATAATAGAATACCAATTGAAATGTTATTAAATATTTTTGGATGTTTTTCTACATTTTCAAAATTGATTTCAGTTACAACACAGAATACAAAGTGTGCACTGCTCACTTTATATTATTATTTTTATTATAAATATATGCACTGTAAAAATGATAAACAAAAGAAATAATATTTTTCAATTCACCTCATACAAGTACTCTAGTGCAATCTCTTTATCGTGAAAGTGTAATATGCAGATTTTTTCGTTTAAATAATTGCCATCAAAAACAAATCAATGTAAAACTTTAGAGCCTACAAATCCACTCGGTCCTACTTCTTATTCTGCCAATCGCTAAGACAAAGAAGTTTGTTTACATTGATGTGAGATACTGCTGCCTGCTTCTTGTTTACATTACCTGAAAGTGAGAACAAGCGTTCGCATAGCACTTTTGTAGCTGGTGTTGCAAGGTATTTACATCCCAGATATGCTAAACATTCGTATGCTCCTTAATGCTTCAGCCACCATTCCAGAGGACTTGCTTCCATGCTGATGATGCTGGTTTTTTAAAAAAAAAAAAAAGCATCAATTAAATTTGTGACTGTACTCCTTGGTGGGAGAATTGTATGTCTCCTGCTCTATTTTACCCGCATTCTGCATATATTTCATGTTATTACAGTCTCGAATGATAACCCAGCACATGTTCTTTTTAAGAACACTTTCACAGCAGATTTGACAAAATGCAAAGAAGGTACAAATGTGAGATTTCTAAAAATAGCCACAGCACTCGATCCAAGGTTTAAGAATCTGAAGTGCCTTCCAAAATCTGAGGGACGAGGTGTGGAGCATGCTTTTAGAAGTCTTAAAAGAGCAACACTCTGATGCGTAACCCAAACCACCAAAAAAGACAATCAAACTTCTGCTGGTGGCATCTGATTCCATGATGAAAATAAACATGCACTGCTTTGGTTCATTATCAAGCAGAACCCATCATCAGCATGGAAGTATGTCCTCTGGAATGGTGGTTGAAGCCTGAAGGGACATCTGAATCTTAAGTGCATCTGGCACGTAAATACTTTGCAATGTCAGCTACAACAGTGCCATGTGAATGCCTGTTCTCACTTTCAGGTGACGTTGTAAACAAGAAGCAGGCAGCATTCTCTCCTGCAAATTGTAACCAACCTTGTTTGTCCAAGTGATTGGCTGACCAAGAAGTAGGACTGAGTGGACTTGTAGGCTCTAAAGCTTTACATTGTTTTGTTTCTGAATGCAGCTTTTTTGTACATACTTCTACATTTGTAAGTTCAACTTTCATGATAAAGAGATTGCATTACAGTACTTGTATGAGGTGAATTGAAAAATACAATTTTTTTGTTTTTTACAGTGCAAATATTTGTAATCAAAAATAAAGTGAGCACTGTACACTTTGTATTCTGTGTTGTAATTGAAATTAATATATTTAAAAATGTAGTAAACATCCAAAAATATTTAAAATAAATGGTATTCTATTGTTGTTTAACAGTGCGATTAATCACAATTAATTTTTTTAATCTCTTGGTAGTCCTAACCTAAATACAAAGGTGTTAAGCAGCTGCAGTGCCCAGTGAGGCCAGGGGAAGCTGCAGAAATCAAGCACCTCTGAAATCAGGCTACTTTTACTGAAGTGCCTATCTAGGGATATAAATGCCTTACTTTATACGGAGAAGGTGGGTGAGATAGTACCTTTTATTGACCAAGGTGGTGAAAAAGACAAGTTTCGAGCTATAGAGCTTTTCGTCAGGTATAGCTTGTAAGCGTGTCTCTTTCACCAACAGAAGTCAGTCCAATAAAAGATATTCCCTCACTCAACTTGTGTCTCTAATATTCTGGGACCAACACTGCTATAACACCACTGCAAATAACTTTATATGCACAATTTTAGCTTTTGCAGAAATAGCTATTTGAAATTTAAACTGATCAAGAACTACCTGAGGTCTTCAGTGAGTCAAAAATGGCTCTCTGATCTGCAGTGGTTTTGGTGAAACGTGAACTGTCAAGCCTTGAGTATGATAGATGAGTTGGTATGAAATAAATACAAACTTGAAAACAGGGCAGTCTTCGAGTGATCCATCCCCTGTCGTCCATTCCCACCTTCTGACAGAGGCTAGGGATGCCCAGAACATGGGGTTGCATCCCTGACCATCTTGGGTAATAGCCATCGATGGACCTATCTTCCATGAACTTATCTAATTCTTTTTTGGACCCAGTTACATTTTTGTCCTTCATAACATCCCCTGGCAACAAGTTCCATAGGTTGACTGTGTGTTGTTACAGTGGGGGCTAGTAAGGCCTGCTTAGGAGTGCTTGGGCACTTGGGAGTGTGGGATAAAGCAACTGCAGCCCATTCCTCCCTCATTTTCTATGCTTTTGCCCACCTTTCTTTTCCTCAGTCTCCTCTGCTCTTTTCTCCTTTCTTCTCTGGTTCTGTCTCCCATTCTCTGCTACGCTCAATCTCTCATCTTTTTTTGGCCCTTTGTCTCTCCTGCCCTGAATATCCTGCCACAATCTGATGCTTGCCTGTTGGTGCAGTAAGAGGAGAGTAGAAGCACAGACACCAGTCCTCTCTCTGGGTCATAGACACCTTCCTGTGATGGTGGCCTGTAGACTCACTCCCACAGAAGTGCCAGTTTCTGATGCTGCTTGGCAGGAATGCTAACAGGGAGGCTTAATGAAGAGTAAGGAAGTAACATTATTGCATGACAGACCTTGGAGTGATCTCTGCGGTGTGTAGTGCCCATCCGCCGTACTCGGAGTTTTACCAGGTTGGCTGCCAAGTGGCTCATTCAGGTGGCTGCTATTTCTGTAAAAGCGAAAGGGCCAGGCTCTGAAAACAGGGATAGTATGACTTTCTGATGTGGTTATCCCCTTTATATGCAAATACTGAGATTGTTATTCATTCACAACAATGCAACATGAGATGTGAGTAGGGT